TAAATTATTGACAATTTTCATTTAATTTATTAGCAAGCAACAATGTGGCAGACTGACGTCATCTGCAGACAGCAGCAACTGTTGGTTGAAAGGTTAACCAGCTTGCTTTTATTATAAACTACCTTGTCATTACCTATAACTTTATAAATAGATCGATACTCATGTTCTCAAAACTGACATTTTACTATAGAAATTATAATCCAACTACGCCACACAGAGGACGAACGACGCAGCAACCAGTTACCCTGTCTGGGACTCTGGCCAGTCCATAAAGCCTTGTTCGGGCTTCGGAAAACTCCATTATAGCCATCACAAAGGTTAACTTTAATATCAGTAGTTAGATATTTTCCATCCAATATTTATATAACTATGCACTGTTATCCAATTTTGTAGTTGTGTTTTATGATACACAGATTATATGTCGTTCAGGAGGCACAATCTGGAAGCCAGAATAAAGATACTTGGACCACTTGCTGTTGCGGAAGCGACTGATCTCAAGTACTTTTTGTATGAAGAACAAAAAGGCACAATACCGTGACTGGAACAATACACAAATAACCCGCACTAAGGAGAAAGAAACGTCGACATAAGTTACCCAGAACCCCAGTGAAGCAACATTCTCGGTAGCTCTCTATACACGTTATTTAAAAACTGACTAAACACACCCATATATACATATATATATATTTTATAAAATATATTATATATATATATATATATATAATATATATATATATTATATATATATATATATAATATTAAAGGAAGAATCACAATACATGTATATACATGTGACTGCGAGTATATAAAATACCCAGTTGAAAAATAAACAGGAAAATATGAGCAATTTCAGATTTATTAGCACATCTTTAGAGGATTATATATTATAAATGATAATATATATATATATAATATATATATATATATAATATTATAACATTATATATATTTATATATATATATATATATATATATATATATATATATATATATTATATATATATATATATATATATTTATATATATATATATATATATATATATATTATATATATATATATATATATATATATATATAAATATTATAATAATATATTATATATAATAAAATTTATATATTTATATATATATACTATATTCTATATAATACATATATATATAAATATATATATATTATATATAATATATATATATATTAATATATATATTATATATATATAATATATATATACATATATATATATATATAATATATATATATATACATATATATATACTATATATATATTTATATATATATATTATAAATAATATATATATAATATATATATATATACATATATATATATATATATTATATATATAATATATATATATATATATATATAATATATATATATATATATATAATATATATATACATATATATATATATATATATATTATATATATATATATACATATATATATATACATAAATAATATATATACTATATATATACAAAATATATATATATAATAATACATAAATATATATATTATATTATATATATATAATATACATATATATTTTTTTTTTTATTTTTTTTATATCACACCGGCCGATTCCCACCAAGGCAGGGTGGCCCGAAAAAGAAAAACTTTCACCATCATCACTCCATCACTGTCTTGCCAGAAGGGTGCTTACACTACAGTTTTTAAACTGCCAACATTAACACCCCTCCTTCAGAGTGCAGGCACTGTACTTCCCATCTCCAGGACTCAAGTCCGGCCTGCCGGTTTCCCTGAATCCCTTCATAAATGTTAACTTTGCTCACACTCCACAGCACGTCAAGTATTAAAAACCATTTGTCTCCATTCACTCCTATCAAACACGCTCACGCATGCCTGCTGGAAGTCCAAGCCCCTCGCACACAAAACCTCCTTTACCCCCTCCCTCCAACCCTTCTAGGCCGACCCCTACCCCGCCTTCCTTCCACTACAGACTGATACACTCTTGAAGTCATTCTGTTTCGCTCCATTCTCTCTACATGTCCGAACCACCTCAACAACCCTTCCTCAGCCCTCTGGACAACAGTTTTGGTAATCCCGCACCTCCTCCTAACTTCCAAACTACGAATTCTCTGCATTATATTCACACCACACATTGCCCTCAGACATGACATCTCCACTGCCTCCAGCCTTCTCCTCGCTGCAACATTCATCACCCACGCTTCACACCCATATAAGAGCGTTGGTAAAACTATACTCTCATACATTCCCCTCTTTGCCTCCAAGGACAAAGTTCTTTGTCTCCACAGACTCCTAAGTGCACACCACTCACTCTTTTTCCCTCATCAATTCTATGATTCACCTCATCTTTCATAGACCCATCCGCCTGACACGTCCACGCCCAAATATCTGAATACGTTCACCTCCTCCATACTCTCTCCCTCCAATCTGATATTCAATCTTTCATCACCTAATCTTTTTGTTATCCTCATAACCTTACTCTTTCCTGTATTTCACCTTTAATTTTCTTCTTTTGCACACCCTACCAAATTCATCCACCAATCTCTGCAACTTCTCTTCAGAATCTCCCAAGAGCACAGTGTCATCAGCAAAGAGCAGCTGTGACAACTCCCACTTTGTGTGTGATTCTTTATCTTTTAAACTCCACGCCTCTTGCCAAGACCCTCGCATATTACTTCTCTTACAACCCCATCTATAAATATATTAAACAACCACGGTGACATCACACATCCTTTGTCTAAGGCCTACTTTTACTGGAAAAAATTTCCCTCTTTCCTACATACTCTAACTTGAGCCTCACTATCCTCGTAAAAACTCTTCACTGCTTTCAGTAACCTACCTCCTACACCATACACTTGCAACATCTGCCACATTGCCCCCCTATCCACCTGTCATACGCCTTTTCCAAATCCATAAATGCCACAAAGACCTCTTTAGCCTTATCTAAATACTGTTCACTTATATGTTTTCACTGTAAACACCTGGTCCACACACCCCCTACCTTTCCTAAAGCCTCCTTGTTCATCTGCTATCCTATTCTCCGTCTTACTCTTAATTCTTTCAATTATAACTCTACCATACACTTTACCAGGTACACTCAACAGACTTATCCCCCTATAATTTTTGCACTCTCTTTTATCCCCTTTGCCTTTATACAAAGGAACTATGCATGCTCTCTGCCAATCCCTAGGTACCTTACCTCTTCCATACATTTATTAAATAATTGCACCAACCACTCCAAAACTATACATATATATACATATATATATGTATATATATGTATATATATGTATATATATGTATATTATATATATATATGTATATATAATGTATATATATGTAACTATACATATATATATATATATATATATATATTAATATATAATATATACAATATATATATATTAATATATATATATATATATATATATATATATATATATATATATATATATAATATATATATATATATATTATGCAACACTGAAGACCAAGGTAGAGGGAGAAAGCGGAGAAAACTATGTTAATTTTAAGCAACACAATGTAACACAACACTCTACAAGAATACTCCCCCACACCTGCTATATTACACAGGAACACCCCGCCACACCTGCTATATTACACAGGAACACCCCGCCACACCTGCTATAAAACACAGAGTTCCCTCCCCCCTCCCCTCCAACACCTGCAACATAGCACTACCACTACGGCTAGCTAGTCTTAACACTTAATAAGCGACGGGTTGCTAACATGACAGTGCACAGCGTGATGGAATGAGTGCACACAATGTCAAGACATCCAGGTCACCAGCCATCCAGGTCACCAGCCATCCAGGTCATCAGCCATCCAGGTCACCAGCCATCCAGGTCACCAGACATCCAGGGCACCAGACATCCTGGGCACCAGACATCCAGATCACCAGACATCCAGGGCACCAGCCATCCTGGGCATCAGACATCCAGATCACCAGCCATCCAGGTCATCAGTCATCCAGGGCACCAGACATCCTGGGCACCAGACATCCTGGGCACCAGACATCCAGATCACCAGACATCCAGGTCACCAGCCATCCAGGGCACCAGCCATCCTGGGCATCAGACATCCAGATCACCAGCCATCCAGGTCATCAGTCATCCAGGGCACCAGACATCCTGGGCACCAGCCATCCTGGGCACCAGACATCCAGATCACCAGACATCCAGGTCACCAGCCATCCAGGGCACCAGCCATCCTGGGCACCAGACATCCAGATCACCAGACATCCAGGTCACCAGCCATCCAGGGCACCAGACATCCTGGGCATCAGACATCCAGATCACCAGCCATCCAGGTCATCAGTCATCCAGAGCACCAGCCACCCAGGGCACCATACATCCAGGGCACCAGTCATCCAGGTCATCAGCCATCCAGAGCACCTGCCACCCAGGGCACCATACATCCAGGGCACCAGTCATCCAGGGCACCAACAAAAACACTTTAAAATCCTAGCCGTGTACATCAGCAGCGTGTTGCTACCCTGTTTTACATAAGCAATACCGGGCCTGGCGGGGTATTATTATTTATATTATTATTATAGTCACGGTGAAGTACCAAGCCCGTACGGCTCATAAATCTTTTGGGGAGGGTAGGCAATTAGGTCAGATCCGAGGAAGCGGAGGGTAGCTCAAATTCCTTAGATCAAGAGCCCTTTAGGACAGGCAAGATGCCCTTCTTTAAGTGCCTGACACCTAAGAATAGGTAGAACATTTAAAAACTAAATGTGTGTGAAGTGTTCAACCAGGCTGTGGCTGAAGCTCGGTCTTCCCTCCGCTAAACCCGTCTGGTTTATGGCCAATTAGCAAATCATCTATGTCACGTGATTCAGCTAACACTCGTGTATTAGACTAGGTCTTGAAACTATTCCAGTTATTGGGAATATGAGGGGAGAGGGGTGTGGCACACAGGGTCATGCAGGGGTGGGGATGGGTGGGGAGACACGCGCTACGTACAGCGTCGTATGGGTTTGATGGGGACGGCGGTGGTGGTGGTGGTGACGGTGTGGTGACTGACGCTCATTGTGGCCACCACGGGCGGGGGGCTGGGCCCCCGGCTCCCCGAGGACATGCCTGCAGGGGTAGCAAAGCCAACTGCAGAAGACCGAGTGTCGTGGCCAGAAGTACTAGCAGTAGTGGCTGCAAGTGGTGCTGGAGCTGCTGCACCACTATGAGGTGATTTTATAGCAGAAGAAAGTGCAGAAGCGGAAGTTGTAGCAGTAGTCAGAGAAGAAGTAACAGGTGCAGCAGCAGTCAGAGAAGTAGTAGCAGCCAAAGGAGGGTCAGCCGTTCCTACGGTCACTATAGGAGACGGGAAGGAGGCCACAGAGGTGTGAGAAGCAGGCAGTACTAGAGGTGAAACAGCTACGGCACCCGTGGAAGAAGGTGCTGAAGCAGCAGTAGCAGAAGCTGGAGCTACGGAAGACTGAGGAGAAGCATTTGAGCGAGGCCGTCCAGGAGCCGTGGAGGCCGAGGAGTCCTGTCTCTTGCAACAACCTGCAACATGGGGACAACTGATGAACTGGCTGTACTCAACACCTCTATGCCAATAATCACCTTTTCCGTTCTGACAACGTCAGCTCACAAGATCCAGAATGACAACTAATGACCTTTCCATAAAGTACCCTTTTAATGCCATCATGGAAATGTGTGTTAAATTTCACTTTTGTGAAATATCCTTTAATAAATCCCCGAGCTAGATCCAAATGTCGTACTGCAGACAATAGTGAAGACAAGACACACTGTGTAGAACCAGCTTTAATTGGGACAATGTTTTACACTGTGTCAAGCTTAAACCATGACTTAATGAAGATCCACACAGAGCGAAGTACTGTCCCCAATAAAAACTTGTTCAGCGTGTGTCTTGTCTTCACAAATCTTTTAGCTGTGCATTATGTTGTAGCTAAGCTGGAAATAACTCATCAATTCTATTTCGTGTAATTACTTCCCCTTATAAAAATAAAAGTACAGTACTTTTCTCTATTTTGTGCTAACATCCACAATTTACAATCAACTTAAAATAACCAGGTTAACTATACAAGTGGACGTCTTACAGAAATAAAAACTATGGAGCTTTTACAGAAACACAAAGAATAGTCTGGAGAGTGAAACATAGGTACACAATTACAATATATATATATATAGATGAAAGGGAATCAATAAGTCGGAGGGAGGAGCAGGAATCTATGTTAAGAGAGAGACTTGTAAGGAAGATTAGAACTTGTCGAAATTAAAGTTGTTACAATGAATCTTGTAGTTATTCCTGTGTATTAATTATTCTCGTGAATGATTCTTATTGAAGAATGACACTTGATGGATTGAACACATCGACTCTAGGCTGAGGGACTGACTTCCTCAAACTACTACTACTCCTCTTCTACCGTTCTTCTCTGCACTGGACTGAAGAAACCACGGGCTGACGAAACGTTTCAAGTGTCTCATTCTTTAACTTGTCGGTTTTCTAAACCAGTTACATCACATGATTCCTGTGCATACGTTGGACTGCAAGCGGCGGCACTAACAGCTTGATCAATCGGGTCAGCAAAAAGGTCTGCTCTAGGACCGGGCCACGTGAATGGTGACCTCTGGAAGCAACTACAGGTAAATGTCAGCAACAGTTATGGAAGACTGACAACTGACTCAAAAACCTTACACTAAATGTTATCCTTTTCGGTGATGGCAATTTGCCACATGTTAAATGGAAGATGGATGACAACAGCACTGTATCACAGTATCTGGAAGCACACACTCACACACACACACACACACACACACACACACACACACACACACAAAGACAGGATGTTCCAGAGATGGGACACAGCAACATTGGAACACAGTTGGAAGTTGAAGACACAGACGAATCACAGGGATGTTAGGAAGTATTTCTTCAGTCACAGAGTAGTCAGGAAGTGGAATAGTTTGGGAAGCGATGTAGTGGAGGCAGGATCCATACATAGCTTTAAGAAGAGGTATGATAAAGCTCATGGTTCAGGGAGTGTGACCCAGTAGTGACCAGTGAAGAGGCGGGGCCAGGAGCTATGAATCGACCCCTGCAACCACAACTAGGTGAGTACACACACACACACACACACACACACACACACACACACACACACACACACACACACACACACACACACACACACACGCACACGCACACGCACACGCACACGCGCGCGCGCGCTCTGATAAAGTTTACTCTAAACCCACAGAAAACAAGAGTGCACCAGGCTACCGTATCAAGCTGTGAGGGCAGCGCCAGAGCACAGATACACTGCCCTAGGAACTAGACCCTAAATAATCGTGATAAGTACTAACTTACTTTATAATCTACGACTAGTTTTAGGTACATTTGCTCAGAATCTTTTTATATATTTTGTCTTGATAATATACCTTAGCATATCATGAAGGCTGATGTACAACAGTAGGCATATCAAGCACATAGTGTTAAGAAAGCGACTATATCGTGACTAATAGGCAGAATCGACCAGTTATTTACAACCGCTCTAAAAACAGATTTTTGACAATTTTATCTTGTATACAGGAGTGGTGTGGATGGAGGTTTTATTCGTATTAACCCGTAGGGTTAACAACTAAGGATTACCCATGAAAGCCAATCAATGTGCCTTATTTTCACCGGGGTCCTTTAGTTCTCTTTCCCAGGATGCCATCCACAACAGTCAGCCAGCACCGAGGTACCTACTTCCTGCTATGTAAAAAAAAAAAGAGGGTAACATGTGTAAAGAAACAGGAACAACGATTCGTGTTTCCACTCATCCTAGGTTTGAACTCGAATCTTTTAATTATGAGCCGAAGACGCTACCACTTGAGGTACTAGCTACCGCTGAAGGAGTAGTGTCGAGGAGGAATGGTGTTGAGTAGTAGTGTGAGGGAATTATTGTATTGGAGTAGGGTAAGTACTGTGTAGGGGAGGAGGAGGTGTGGGGAAGTGAGAGGTGGGGGAAGGAGCCGGGTGCGTGGAAAAATCTTTAAGGAAATGGGTGGGGCAGTTAAGAGAGGATGGGTCAGGATGGGGGTGGTGGAGGGGGTAGTGATGTGTGTTGGGATTGGGGCAGTAAGTTTTAATTTAGACTTTGGATACCTATGTAGACGAGGTCCACCTCCAGTGCAAACTGTGGGAAAACCTTGGTAATAGATACCGATCACTTAAATGAACAAGGTCCCAGGACCGACACGTTTCCTAATACGTCCTAGTGTTTACCTGGAGTTTAACTGGAGAGAGTTCCGGGGGTCAACGCCCCCGCGGCCCGGTCTGTGACCAGGCCTCATGGTGAATCAGAGCCTGATCAACCAGGCTGTTACTGCTGGCTGCACGCAATCCAACGTACGAGCCACAGCCCGGCTGATCAGGTACCGACTTTAGGTACTTGTTCAGTGCCTGCTTGAAGACAGCCAGGGATCTAATGGTAATCCCCCTTATGTATGCTGACAGGCAGTTGCTTACGTGTCTTTCTAAACTAGATTCTAGGGATCCATAGCCTCGGAGAACTAGGATAAAATATGGCTTCCAGGAAAATTATTTAGATTTCTCTCCGAAGCCGACAGAATATCCTACTTCTACTACAGAATCTTTTATAAATACACAAATACGTATCCTTTATCATGTAATATGGTACACAAAGTTTAGATCATACACTGATAGTACAACGGGACGGTGATGAATATTCAATTTTTTAGGTGGTCTTGAGGGCACGCAAGTTATTGGTCCATAAATAAGGTATTTAGGTTCAACCTTGAATAAGCCAATAAGACCAAAGATTGTGATTTATTTCCTTTGTGGTCCCTATGTTTGGGAAATATCCGATGGAATGAAAATCGAAATAAATGGAGGGCACAGAGAAGGAGGGAGGATGGAGAGGGAAGGTGACGATGGAGGAGGAAGGAAGGGAGGCTGATAAGGGAGAGAGAGGAGAGGAAAATAAGGAAGGGGGCATTAAGAAGATGTCACCCTTGGAAATGTTATCAAACTCTCCATTTACACCTCTAAGATCCCCATCTCCCTCACTACCAAACCTCCCTCACCATTCCCCCTCCCTCACCATTCCCCCTCCCTCACCACCCCACCTCCCTCACCACCCCACTCCCTCACCACCCCACGTCCCTCACCACCCCACCTCCCTCACCACCCCACGTCCCTCACCACCCCACGTCCCTCACCACCCCACCTCCCTCACCACCCCACGTCCCTCACCACCCCACGTCCCTCACCACCCCACCTCCCTCACCACCCCACGTCCCTCACCACCCCACGTCCCTCACCACCCCCCCTCCCTCACCACCCCACGTCCCTCACCACCCACGTCCCTCACCACCCCACCTCCCTCACCCCACCCCACCTCCCTCACCACCCCACGTCCCTCACCACCCCACCTCCCTCACCACCCCACGTCCCTCACCACCCCACGTCCCTCACCACCCCACCTCCCTCACCACCCCCATCTCCCTCACTACCAAACCTCCTCACCATTCCCCTCCCTCACCATTCCCCCTCCCTCACCACCCCACCTCCCTCACCACCCCACCTCCCTCACCACCCCACCTCCCTCACCACCCCACGTCCCTCCCTCCCACCACCCCACCTCCCTCACCACCCCACCTCCCTCACCACCCCACCTCCCTCACCACCCCACGTCCCTCACCACCCACCTCCCTCACCACCCCACCTCCCTCACCACCCCACCTCCCTCCCACCACCCACCTCCCTCACCACCCCACCTCCCCACCCACCCCACCCTCCCTCACCACCCCACCTCCCTCACCACCCCACTCCCTCACCACCCCACCTCCCTCACCACCCCACCTCCCTCACCACCCCACCTCCCTCACCACCCCACGTCCCTCACCACCCCACCTCCCTCACCACCCCACCTCCCTCACCACCCCACCTCCCTCACCACCCCACCTCCCTCACCACCCCACCTCCCTCACCACCCCACCTCCCTCACCACCCCACGTCTTTTACTACTGCTATCTTTATCATCTCAACAATAATGCCCATGTGTTATGATGACTGTGAACCCCCAGACCTGAACCTGAGAAGAACAACCTCTCTCCTTCAGAGACTCCTGTTGCATCCTAGCAACGATTCCTGTTGCATCATAGCAACATGCTTCCTGCTGCATCCTAGCAACACACTCCCTGCTGCATCCTAGCAACACGCTTCCTGCTGCATCCTAGCAACACACTCCCTGCTGCATCCTAGCAACACGCTTCCTGGTGCATCCTAGCAACACACTCCCTGCTGCATCCTAGCAACGCTTCCTGTTGCATCATAGCAACATGCTTCCTGCTGCATCCTAGCAACACACTCCCTGCTGCATCCTAGCAACACGCTTCCTGGTGCAACCTAGCCAACGCTCCCTGCTGCATCCTAGCAACGCTTCCTGTTGCATCATAGCAACATGCTTCCTGCTGCATCCTAGCAACACACTCCCTGCTGCATCCTAGCAACACGCTTCCTGGTGCATCCTAGC